TTCGAAGAGTGATCTACTCCAAGTTTTGAAGCAAGAGTGAGCAAAAATCCCACAATCTAATATTGACGAGATGATTCTCACAATGCCCCAAAGGATCAATGAACTCCACGAAGCGAAAGGAAGATCTACTAGATATTAATTAAATTATAAGTATATCAATTCATGTGAATATGGCTAAAAATTTTCATTTTTTCTGAAAAGGTGGTGTCTATTTACTTTTTCTGCTTTCATTTAACCAAAGTGACCACATCTTATTTTAATTTAAGCTACCTTTTATTAACAATAACAAAAAAATATTCACAACATTGTTCTAGAAAACCAACTATATCTGAGAATCTGTCATTTTTTTTTTTTATGCTTAAGACATTGGAGACAAGTTATGGCAGATGGAAGGCCATCTCAGTGGAATACTAGACCAGGCTGAGCAAACACACACAAAAATTGATAACATTCAAGATAAAATTGATGAAGAGCTTAGTCCTCAGTTTGAAGCTTTGAATACAGGATCTAAGGCAGAATTTGGAAGCATCAGGGATACCAGTGAGTCTTTTAAAGAAAGGACTATAGGCTTTCATGTGTTACATGGTGCTCATGTGTACAAGTTTTAGAATTATATTGTTTACTTAAGACGCTATGGGAAACATGTTGAAACACTTGTCATTTTACTCAGTTGTCAAGGATACTTAATCATTATTTAGGTAAATGTTAGACCATGAAGACTGAGACATAGTAATATAGTTTGTTGAATCAGTTACAATGCTATATTTCTATGTTTCAATAACAATATGGTAATTTTGTTATGTCCTCTTGAATTTAAGGATCATTACAAGTAACAGTGGAAATAGTTTTATTAATAACATTAGTCTTATGGAAGTTGTGTTGAAATAGCAAATCCTTTTTTTTTTTTTAACTTATATTTTTCTGTGATCAAATGATCACTAATAAATTATTTAAGCTAAAGCATTCAGATCAAAAATCTGATTTTCATAGATACTCTAAACACTACTGAATCAGAGCATTACAACCATATTTCAGCAACAAAATGCAAACTGAGAACTTTTTTTTCCAATAGTTATTATTATTTTTTCTATTTTGATTGATTCTGTAGCAAAATTAGTCATATTTGAAAGACATAGTCAGCTTGGTTTTCTTTCACATTTTTTCTTCAGTCAACAGGGCTAGAGCTTACACCTTCGATATCAAGAGACAGGCAGAAGAAATGAAAAGACTTTCCAAAACAGTGGAGTCACACCGCAGAGATACTCAACTGAAACTAAAGGAATTAAAAAACAAAATTAAGTTTGCCAGGCAGATGGCATCAAGTGTAAGTTAGATTTTAGTATAATTTTTAGAACTCTGAATAAACATGTTATTACTTAATAAAACATTCTTCAGGGTTTTTGCTACAAGGTGCTGTGAAAGAATGAATTTTTTAAGTACTTGTTTTTTTCCCATAAGTTATTATGCCTTTTTTTATTATTTCTTATAACAAATATAATGTAACTATAAATACTGTAGCAGTGAATGTTTTTTTTTCTCAGCTTAATGTTGATAAACAGTATTGCAACAAAAATGTTTATTTACAGCTGAGCAATTAGTGGCATTTTCCAGTCAATAATTCATTGGCCTTATTAAATGATTACATTTAAATAATCGATTATTCTCACATGAGACTAGCCATCATATTTTCAGCTTGTTTTGTATTATATTAGACATTTTCATATTTCCCTTTATTTAATATGATACAGTTTCAGGTAGAACAATTTAGGATTAAATTACCTTTTTTTATAATTTTAAACTGTTGTACCTGCAAATGTATTATATACACAATGAAGTATAAAATTTGTAACAAGCTTCAAATACAGCTAATACTGTCATATGGGTTTCATCCTACTACTAAAACTAAATAAACAAATTCTGTATTATAAACTGGATTTAGTGTGATAACACTATTAAAGATTCTTTACAAAGTTTGTAATGAATATATGTAATTCAGTGAAAACATATTCATGGCAATTGTAGGAAGAAAAAAGTACATCTTTACTACTTAGCACGAAAAGTGGAGATAACATTAAATGACCAGAGGTTAAAATGATTCATAAGGTGGAAATACAAGTACTATGAGGGATATTAAAATCCGGAAATATGAAAAAATAAATCTTTAATTACTGATATTTCTGTTTTTTTCTAATTCTATCATCATGAAAAATTTGATAAACAGTGAACATCTTTATAAATATGAAAACTATCCTAAACTTTTAAGCAAGAAGTTGTTGATATGTATAGAAATCTAGAAAAAAAACACACAAAAATGATAAATATCTCTAGATTTTACTGTGCAGTCTGGAAGAAACTGTAGAAACGTGTGCTGATAAATCAGTAGATCAAACAACTTAAAACTTGCAACATTAGGCTCTGTTTGAGCAGCATGTAATTAAGGCTCCAAGGGCATGCATGGTTGGTGGCAATGACAATCAAACCTGTTACCCTCATCTCTCAAGACAACTACTTTAATCATTAGACGATGCCATCCTGAAGTTGAATAAACTTGAATTAATCAAAAATAACAATGAGAAATCATAATGGCAGTGTTTTGGTTGTTTTGATAGTGGGAATAAATGAAAATGGTAATCAGAAACACTAATTACCATATTTGATATTTCTTTGTAACATTAATAGATTTAAATGTATTTTTGATTAAAATAATTGATGCTCTTAGGTAATCGATCTAATCACCCAGCTCTATTCCCAGTGGCACTTCTAGGTTTATTTCTTACTGTAAAGAGAACCTATGAAAAGTAATGCCATTAAAAACTAAAAGTTATTCTCTACCTCTTATGGTGGCTATAACAACAAGTCAATGTAGAAGTGGTATTTCTGCCCGCTCAGTGTATATTTTATATATATTCTTTATATATTATGTAAAAAATGTAATGACAGTAAAAAAAATTGTTCTTTACAGCTCAAAGTGTCTATAACTACAGACAGCAGTGGAAAGTGTAAACGATCGTATCAATCACAAGTAGAGCCCTCAACTGTCACTAACATCATTCTTAATTATGCACTCACCAAAGAAGAAGATAAAGATAGCCTTTTGTTTTACTTAGCCAACCCAGTATTAGTAAGTATTTGAGGATTATTCTTGTGAAAGTATTTCTAACCAAATTTGGGATTTGAATTTACCAATAAACTTATGAAATTTCATCGTCACTTATGACTTATCTAAAGTGGACTATTTGTTTGAGTCTAATGCTACCAGCTCCATTAGGAAATAAATATATCAGGTCACCTAGGTTGCACAAGCTATACTGTAAAGTCTTAAGGACTACTGTTTTTTGATCTCTATATCAGTAAAGTATAACTTTTAAATTTTATATATCTATATATTTAGGTTAATACATTGTTCTGATTTAGGGTTTTGATACACCAAATCTGATTATCATTTGAGTTCCCAGCTTTTTACTCAACAGTAGTGTACTTTTTGGTCTTTCGGTGAAACAAGAAACATGGTATCTTATTTTGTCATTATAAAGTATCAGAATCGTATATTTTGTAAGGTTGAGATGAATTATCAGGATCTTCACAAGTTTTTTTCAGTTTAATGCCATTGTTACTTATACCACTGTGTTATGCAAAAACACAAGAATAACAAGAAACATGGTATCTTATTTTGTCATTATGAATTATCAGGATCTTCACAAGTTTTTTTCAGTTTAGTGCCATTGTTACTTATACCACTGTGTTATGCAAAAACTATGTATTAAACTCTTCTTTAATATGTACTTACTGTCCACAAACTTTTAAGTATTTCAAAGTGCTGATTTTAAATCAGAATAACTTAAATTTTTGTCAAGGTTGTGAGCTAAAGTTAGCCTTATTTTCTGTAGCAGGATGTGATCAACTGTTCCATGGGATAGTTTCATTGTTTCCCACATTACCTTGTATACTGAGATTTCTTTATGGCTATCACATGAAGCATAAATAATTCTGTGTTAGTGATCCATCACCTTGGTTGGCCAGCTTTCCGAAAGGAATAGTTTTCTTTTATTCAGGCAGATTTGTTCTGACTTTGATAAGTTAAGTCTTGCCAATAAATGTTCCATCTTTTTTGAAATTCTTCCAATGTGTGCTAACCATGTGTATTTTAACTTCATTTTCAACAAGTATTAATTTTATCTATCTTTTATTTGCTTTCTGTCTTCAAGTATAGTTTAATTTCTTCTTTAATTTTTAATTTTAATTTTAAATCACTATATTCATGCCACTAACTAATCAGCTATTCTTCTGTTTCCTTTTGTTTGTTGTTGTGTTTCATTTCAACCATATTATTTTTCTCTCATTCTACCTAAGAACATTTCACTGCATCTGATAGGTTTATATGCTAGGTATCTGAATCTCAAAAAGTTATGGAGATCAGTTAACTGTGTGTTAGGTTTATCCCTGAAACCTCACGCAGCAAATTACTCCTTTTGAGGCTTTTACAGGAACTAGGACTTCACCAGGTTTCCAATTTTTATTAGTATTATGAGTGAGTACATGAAGAATTTAAACTACACAGTGAACTATTTGGACATATTCTGTAGTCTGTATGCATTATTTAAGGAAATAATACAAAAACTGGAAGTGGCCAGATAGAATGAGGAATTGAGGTTTTTCAAATGAAGTTAGAGTAATTGAAGTTCAAAAATATATTATACATTTGATTTATTGATTACACTGAGACATTTGAAAGGGTAAGACATGAGGAGATGTTAAAAATTGTAGACAGTCTTATTGTTGATGGTAAAGACCTCAGTATCATCTGCAATCCTATTTGGAACAAAGTGCAGCTAGTAAGATAGAATATGATATCAACACTTTTCAAGAAATAAAACAAGATGTCAGACAAGTACCCTTGTTCTTTTTCCAGACCAGACCTTTTCTCAATACACAGTGAAATGATTCTCATAGGTATAGAAAACTGTGTAAGAATTAAAGTTGGAGGACATAACATCATCAATTTTGTGGTATGAAGATTACACAGTGCTAATTGTTGAAAATCAGAAAGATCATCAAGAAATGGTAAATATATAATTATTGATAAAGCATGAAAAAAAAAGGATTGACTCTCAACAGTACGAAAATGGAATGTATGGTAACCTCCAAGCAAAGCAATATCCCAAAATGCAGAATTACAGTTGGTGGGACAAAAGTCAAATGAGTTCACCATTTCAACCGTCTTGGCTCCTTGGTAAAATCGGGTGGTAAGTGCACAGAAGAGGTTAAAAGGAGAATGATTGGTAAGAATACCTTTTGAAATATGAAAAGTATAATGATAAACAATAATATACCAAAAGAAGTAAACAAAATGATTGCAATATAACATTAACTCCCATACACAGGTGTGAAACATGGACAATAAGAAAGGAAGTTGAGAGAAAATTTGAAGCAGCTGAAATGTGATTCTTAAGAGGAATGATGTGAATAGCATGGACTAAGAAAAGTAATGAACAAGCACTGGTGCAAGCCAACACAACAGGCAACATCAATAAAATAAGAAAGATGCAACCTGAGTTCATAGGCCATCTGATGAGGAAAGAAAAGGTGGAATACATATTAAAAACTGGCAAGACAAGAGGAAAAAGAAGCAAATGAAGACAAAGAATAAATATGCTTGATGAACTCACAAAATAGTTGGAAACCATAAATAAACAATACAGAATTGTTGAAAAACACCAGGAACAGAGAGAAGTGGAAATTCATGACTGTCACTGCCTGCATACAGGCATGACAGTGGAGAAGAAGTAGCATGCATTGGAGACTAACATGCTATTATATGTGATCAGAACTTTGAATTCTATTTATTTCTCTTTGCCCACTTTTTGAGGACGTCTATCATAGTGCAGACCATTAGAAATTTACATCCGTAAAGAAATAGCCAAATTAAACAGATAAAAGATGCAAAGCAAATAACGCATATTTCATCATTTTGGGAGATTAACGTTTTTGAAGTCTTATTCATTTTGTTTGACATGTTTTTCTCGATCTTTTTCTTATTTTGTCAAACTAATAATATTAATACTTATTAATCAAAGACTGTATCTAAACTTTAAATTTAAGGAAGTAAAATCTGTAGCTTTTCTAACTTTAGTCTGCATACAGTTGCTGCACTTTTAGTCTCATTCTTTAATAAACTTTGCATAATTGTTCCTCTTATGAATAATGGTGAATATGACTGTCTCTTTTACAGGGTTTCTAATAATTTTCATTCATATTTTAAAATGTAATAACTTTTGAATGAAAAAGGACCAAGTTATGGTAAAGTATATGTTGGGATAATAATCCAAGTTTTATGTCATTTCAGAAGTTTTTTTTTTATGCAAAAATTCAATATGTTCTCAATAGATACTTTAAAAACTGTGATTCTTCTGCTAAAAGCTTAGATGGTTCTGTGATATGTGGAAGTTAAGTGTTATTTTTGAAAATTACCAATTCTGAAAAGTTTATTATATACCAGCACCATTAAACAACAGAATAAATGATGGCATATTAAGCAGGTAAAGGAAATGGGATCTAGGTGTCCTCGGAAGAACACTGGATGATCCAGTGTAAGTAAAATCACTGTCACATCAGTAATCAGTCACGTGCATAGTTCTTTCTAAACTGTATCCATAAACAGCTACCAAGCAAACTCGTATTTGCTGTGCATGTTACAAACTTTGTCACTCAACTTCCTCTGTACTCAGAGCTTACATATTTCTGTAAGCAGCTCACAGTTTAGATTGTTATTAGTGGGATCTTGAGTTGGGTAAATACTGTATATTATGCTGTGCTGGTAAGTTAGTGCTTCTGTCACTATCTGCAGAACATACTGGAATTTTTTATTCATTTAGTGGCTTAAAAGTGTTACAAAATTATCATTGGTATCTGATCAGCTTTGGAGTGTCAGTGTGCCATACTCTAAAGAGAAATATATATATTTTCTTTGCATTGCAGTGTACAAGTGTAACAATACAGCAGTGAAGTAAGAGTCTCCTCACACTGAACTAAAGTATCAACTGCTTAGTGGATGTATTAACTTTAACAAACAACATTTATAGAGAAGATTGGTCACTAGACTCTCATACTTGGGTATGTTGGAGAAATTTTCTTCCACATTAAAACCTAATTGTGTTATTGACGTATGTTTTTTCCATCAAAACACCATCCTATTTCATTCTTTGAAGTGCTTGATCAGCCCGGTTATCCTGGGCTCTTAGATCTCCAGTATTTATGTCACTGGACTTTTAGCTAGGACTTTTAGCATAACCCCCCACCCCTCCACCCCCACCTGTCTCAAGGATTACATATCAGGTAATCAGTTGATGTAATTCCAAAATACATGCTTGTCAATGTGTTTAACAAATGGTGATGATACCTGCAAAAATATCCCAAGGTCAGCAGAGTTCATGTGGGGGGTGGTATAAAAACTGACCAGCATGTACTTTACTGCATGTTGTATTTTAAAATGTATAGACATCCTATATAACATTAAAGTTGTCAGTATGTTTTTTATGCAGGATGACTTTATGGCTATAGAGATGGTCAACTGGAAGATTAACTTTTTATGGAATGCAGGAGGTGGCACTGAAGTTATTCAACATGGCCTCATTCTTGAAATTAATGATGAACAATTGTCAAACGAAAAATACTGGTATACTATAGAAGTAAACAGGTTAGTCAAACATGTACAATTTTAGTAATGAGATTATACTTAAATTAATCTAGTTTATCTTCTGCTATAGTAACCAATAATGTGAAATATTAAACTGTGAAAAGAAATGAAATGTTCACTTGAGTGATAATGAATTTAACCATTACTAGTCATTCTAGCTTTTATGTTCTAATTGTTTTTCTTTCTGCAGCTTATGTCATAAAATTTGGTACTGTATTGTTGGTGTGTTAATTTGTACAATTATGTATGGATCACTTCAGTAAGTTTAAGGAACTGAAAAATCTTTAATGTGAATTTTTGTATGCACTTAAGTGGCAATATTGAAGGTCAAAATCAAAATAAAAAATGCATAATTTTCATTTAAACACAATTCAAGTTGTAAGTTTTGTAACTTTTTTATAAATATTTGTTAAATTTTAGGTAGAGGTATCACGGAAGGCAACTAACAATTGATTATATACTAGTAATTCTGATGTCTTCATAATATATATATCTGTGCATAACTGTCAGTCTATAAGGATCATTTGTTTTTATTTGTATGCTTAACATAACTGCTAGAACAGAGAAAGGTGTTTAGTCTGCTTTCTAGACATGTTAAATTAATCACACATCAGTGTTCTTGTAGTTAAAATTATTAGCATGGAATATATAGATGTACATAAACAAAAAAAAAAAAAAAATTAGACTATAAACTGTCCACAGGGAGATTTTTGGCTGTTCTGCAAGACAGTTGAATAAAGTGTTTTAAAATATAGCTACTGAAGAATATTAAAAAGTTGATATTTTACAAAGTGGTCCATGAAAGTTTGATAAACCACTGCTTTAGCAACAACTTGAATTGGAAACATATCCAATGAAAAATCTGCTTCACACCAAAAATGAAAAATTAACTTAGTGTATTTAGCTCTAAAAGAAAATTATAAATATCTGGAATTACTGAGGAAACTTGGAGGATACAAAATTGGTTCTTCAAGCAGTAGATGCAGCAAAGAGATGTGAAACAAAAATAGAGATTTACTTACCAGATAGAAACGACTTTGTACTGACCATTCCACGAGTGTCTTTGCACCCACATGGTACTTTGTTCTTCACTGGAACTGTCAAATCAAGGCAAAATATCAGTTTGCACAGTACATATATGGAACACTTGGTGACTCCAAAGCAAGTGCTTTACCAAACTTCCGTGCAATGATGGAATGTAATCAAGACAGGAAAACTTGTATATTGGAAAGTATGACTTGGATGATGACATGATAGAAAGCTTTGAGTGAGATGAGGAATCTTCAATCACTTTATTACAAAGAATTGAGCTATGTGCTTGAAGATTGTATGCCCTGGAAACTGAAGAAATTCTTCATCAGACAGTTTTGAATGCACAAGTGGCCAAGTGATACTATGCCAAATCCAAAACAACTCGAGATATATGAATAGTTGTAAAATAGAGAAGGTGACAGCTATGTTTGAATTTCAACTTTGCTACAAAGCACATCTGAAGGTGTAATCAACCTTATGAATTCTAAGAATTTATGAATGAATGCAAAGAATAATGTTATATAATGTCAAACATCTATGATATCCAATGTGAACAAGGCATTTTGCTCAGTAACAGGGCTCATCAGGTCAGCTAGGATTTGTGATATCCAGTGCCAATGAGACCTTTTTTTCAATACCCAGGGCTCATCACATCAACTAGGATATGACAGACATAGTAGTGGTCTAGTTGCTTTTTGTATCATTAGTTTTCATGAACAACAACTATTGTGGTGTGAAATAACTGAATTGTAATTATAATTTTGTTGAAAGTCATTTACAAATCATATTCTTGGGAATGGGTTAATAACACACTATTATTGATTTATTTTTATTAACACCAGTTATTTATTTTACTATTACTATTTTATTTGAATTAACTTTACTGTTGTGCAGAAGAACTGGAAAACCAGCAAGCTACTCTTATTGTTCCTGGAGCAGGTCATGTAACCACAACATTAATGGAAGAAAACTACATTAGTAATTGTAAGAACTTGTGAGTGAAAGTAAAGAAGAATACATTATAATATATCAGCCACACTACATATGCCATATCCAGTGCCAACAAAGCCTTTCACCTAATAACAAGACTCAACAGGCCAATATTGATCATGCATTAAGTCAGTCTGCTGTGGTACTTCAACATGTCACAGGAATAATGTCAGCTGTGTAGTACTACATATCCCATTCTCCCATACTATATAAATAACATTCACAAAACCTTGATATTTTTTCCATGTTCTAATTCTGGAACATGCTAAATCAAGTTGAGGTCATGTGCAAAATTCAGTGTTAAGTGTTATTTCTGTATCCAGTACAGATAAGGAATTTTTCTACTATTTCATGGAATAGTATTTTGCTTTTATCATGTGTATAAGGAAGGACAGCTTCACAACTGTCAAATGGAACTTCTGGATTATTGCAATCTATTTGGGATTGTTCAATAAGAGAGAGAATATGGATTGGTTTGTAGAGTAGTTTGGCTCTTTTATGGAGATTAGCTTCTGGTCTGAGAGGGCAAAGAATGTGTTTTTTTTTTTTGTTTTTTTTTTTAGTTTCTTTACTGTGTATACTGAGTGTTTTTTGTCCATACTTTATTTCAAGTTTAGTTAGTTTTATCTTTTACTTTTATTTCATCTTTTCCAAGTGAAAGATGTGAAATATACAGCACTTGGTTGTGTTTCACAACTTGTTTGATTTTTCTTTTGGGCACTTGTTCTTGTATTTCATCCAGCCAAATCTACGAACCTATCATTATTTATGGATGATTTAATCATGTATCATTATTTATTGAAACCTAAAGTGTGCCAATGTGAGGCATATCTCCATTATATCAGATGCATTGAGAGATTCTGATTTGATAAACTAATTAGTGGATAAGCGACTGTTACAATTTCTGAAATCAGAATTTAAAAGGATTGTTTAATAACACTTTTCTATATGTGTAAGTTGAATTAGTTCTACAAAAAAATATTTGAAAAAATTAAATCTCTAACAAGTTTATAACAATTTGCATTCAGTGATAATACAGTGTACTTATAAAGTAAAATGTGTATAACACCTTACACATATAAACTTATTTTTGTTCAAATAAATGTGTGAAAAGAGTAAGAATTCTATATGAATGATTTCTATGGTAGATTATATGTAAAACCATTGATTTTAAAAATGCATGTTTTGAAGTTGATATTAATTTAAAACAATTTGTGTAGAGTTTGATTGTTTTTTAAGAATGTAATGCTCAAATTATACAAAAGTACATTATCTGTATCTTGATATGTAATTGGTATATTAGAACATTTTTGTAAGTATTCTTTATGGAATACTTTAGAGTTTGACAGAACGTAGTATTTTTAGAGCTACTAATTATATAACAGTGATCAGATATATCCAGTTTCCATACAGCTACAAATCATATGATACTGATCAGATATATCCAGTTTCCATACAAGACTTTGACAAAATGTGAGTGAAGTAAAAGTGTGTGTTTGTGGAAATATAGAATATTGAGAAGATTCTGGGTATTCCAACACTACATATCTTTTTGATGAGGACTATCCACCCATTTTTCAATGCAGTACTTATTGCCCATTTTACTATCTGCAAATGAAATGGACAAAACACAAGAAACAGTACCTGGCACTATTTTGATTTCATTCTATATAGTTATTTGATAATTTGATGTTTGTTTATATCTGCTCATTGTCACAAACTTGTATGTTATCTGAAAAACCTAAAGGAAACAACACCGAGGCTTACAAATATTATAGTATTGAGAGTAGAAAAAGATTAAGGGTTGAAGTTTTGGCATTGCTCTGTTTGTTATGTAGGCTGTCCCTAAGACATAAGGAATTATGTATTTGCATATAATGAAATTTCACTTTTTCATAGCAGAATACGACTAGATTAGTAAGTATCAAAGCTATGTTGATCCTTTAATTACTGTTAGTCTATATGATCAAATTTCCACACACATTTTTCTAAACTATTTATGCACAAAAGCACTTATATTACCAGCCCCTTATTACTTATATTACCACACAAAAGAATTCAAGCAAAAATATCAAAATTGCCATTAATCCTATTAATTACTGCAAGCATCTGTTATGTATTTTACACAAGAAGTGATTGATTTTGCCAAATTTCTTTCAATTACTTCTTTGCAGTGAGTGTTACAAGAAGCAAAAGCATAAAATTCTTCAATATAATGCAGTTTGTAAACCTCTACTGGTAGTGAGTTGTATGCAAAGAATTTAACTTGAAGGATAACCAATAACTTCTGTAAAAATTAATTATTTTATGCTCATATTTGGCACAATATGAAATCAAACATTGAAAACAGATTTTTGGTTATTATAATAGGTATTTATTGCTTCTTTTTGAATGCAAGTTAAGATCATTTAGGTTTTGTTTGTTTCAGCCAACAAATTGTGAAATGTGACCTACAAATCATGTGTAAACTCACAATGATTTTGCCATATAGACAAGGGACTTTGAAGGATTTCAGACTTCTTCTAACCCATCTTGATAATGACAGCTATAACAGAACTGATTCCACATTGAGTCTAGATAAAAATGCTATCACAGAGTGTAGGAACTTGGCTCTACATTTGTATTAATAACTGTCATTGAGACCTCATGGACTTTTTTATATATTTTCATAATATACTTTAATGTTAGCCTTGCTGGTTTACCAGTCATTAATTTCTTAATTAAATGTTTAGCTTTTTTTTTTGCCGATATGGACTAGTGTGTATATCATTTCATTGTATTGAATTGTGCTCTAACAGAACAACAAAAAATATATTTTTCTTTTTACCAAATCAGGATCGGAAATATTGCTACTCTAACTGTAAAGCCAGCATCAAAGAAAGCAGAGTTGGATCCTTATAAAGTCCAAGGATACACATCATTAGAATACACTAATATGAACTTGAACTCATCATCACTTTTATATATTGGTGGAATTCCATCTGCCATAAAAGTAAGACTGGGTTTTCTTTGTTCATACTGAAGATACCAAACATTATTGCAGTTTCAGTTGAACTCTTATTTCTTTATGAATTTATCTACGATAGTTGAGCAGTATATTCTCTCATAAAATAATTTAGTTATCATCCAAAATCAAAGGAGGAAATTTTCATAATTATTTGTTAATTGTTCAGCATAGGGTATACATCAGGAAGATGAAATGTGTGACAAAATATGTTTTTATTCAGTATAAAAATTGTTCACTTTTATCAGTGAAATTAGTTATTGAAATTGCTCCCTAAATCGTATCTCAAAAGAAAGTTGATAGAAAGAAAAGTATACGCTCAAGAAGAAAATGAATGTCTTGAGTCGTAATATCTCCATAGTGTGTGTGTGTGTGTGTGTGTTTACATACATGTATATAAACATACAAACACACTTGTATTTCACCAGATATCAAGACAACTTCAAACTAGGTCATTTGCTGGATGTCTCTATGAAGTTCGATTGGATGGTAATAATGTAGGACTCTGGAATTTTTTGACAAACGAAGGATGTAGTGGTTGCGAGGAAGGGTAAGACTGAAATAGTACTCTTTTGAAAATTATATTTCACTCTTTCTTCTTGGCTGCTACGTAATCAACACAATGTGTTAATTTAACTTCACAATGAACATAATGCAAGAACTGTAGCCTCTTGCATATTGGCTACTACATTAACAATGTGACTAAATTACTATAGCCTTTATCATCAAATTAAAGACCTTAGCTATAGGATATAACAGCTATAGTCGGTGTTAGTTTGTGGATCACAGTAGCAAACAAGAGTCATAAATAAGATACTTTCATGCTGGACTGCTTCCTTTTGACACGTTACTAACATTTTTAGTTTTATCTTTTGTCAAGAAGTTAATTCTGTAAAATAAATACTTCAGTTCATTTAGTGTATATGTAAAATTGATTCACTTAGACATGAATTTGTTTTTATTTATCTGAGAATGCAGGTCTTTAGCAGAATGGCCTACATTGCATTAGTAGGTGAAATATCATCTTCAAACTAGTTCTAAACAGGTAAAACTTAAGTAAAGCCTTTCATTCCTTAATTTAAATATTCTTATAAATAGTTTTACAAAATATTTCTAATTAAAATTTGAACAAACTAATTGTTTGTTTCAAAATAAAATCATAATTGGGTACATAGATTTTACCTTTTTTTTTTCTTCTATTTCTAGGGCAACTGGACAAATTGATGATTCAAAATATAGGTTTACAGGAGGTGGTTATGCTATACTTAACCAGCCAAAACTCCAAGGTTTTACTCAACACGATGTCATTTTAAAGTTCAAGACTTTTGATGAAAATGCCTTGTTATTTTTCACAGCAAATCCTGAAAAGGTAAATTTGTTATCAGATTTTCATGTAAGCATTTAGCTCAGTGCTTGAATGAAGATAATTTATATTAACTCTATCACCATGGTTATCATTTACTGCGCATGACACAAGGTTTCATGTGTCTTACATTCCAAATTTTATTAAATTACTTTTTGTTTGTTATACCAATTAGAATAGCATAAAATATTAGCTAATAATCCATATTTTAATAGTATACAAGTTTGAAGTTCTTATTTCTACAAGGCAATATTTAAAAACATCCTGACTTTCCCCTAGTGTGACCCACATGACACATTTTCTCTTAGCATCTCATCTTCCTTATTTTATCCACCATTCCTCTTAAAAGTATGAAATTAAACATAAATTACTCTACAAAATCGTCATTGCTCAGACAAACCATAGTTTTTATAGTCTTCAATTTTGTTTTGTTACAGAGCTATTGAACAGAAAATAAGACCCCTCCTGCCATGCCTACCTGTTACATCCTCTCTTTCAGAATTTGTTAATAGTTCTCTCTTACATATAATTATATATTACCTATAACCAATAG